CTCCTTTTTAAGTCCGACCTCATACTTAAAACGCTGTTTAAGTATGACCTAAAGGTTGGTGAATACGGGCCTAAGACTATAAATATCTAAAAAGTCAGTTTCACGAACTGAAGTATTATTTTTATTAGTAATCATCTCTGGAGGATATATTTCACTTAAAACTCGTTCTAATAGACCAAAATCATATATAAGACCATGAAGATTATACTTTTCCGAGCCACCGTTGAGCCTGTATTGTTCTATGGCTGAGACCCATTGGATATCAGTTAGTTGCTGTCTGATAACTATAAGCGTATCAATGGCTGTTACAGTAGGCCCTCAACAGTTGAATACCATCCCCAATCCAACAGTGATGATTAGTCGAAGCATAATGAAACTAACCAAGTATTTAGCAAGACACAATGATGAACTGGCCGATCAAGCACTTTTTGGGATTCCCAGCATGAAATAACAGCACCTGTTTCAAAACAGTTAAAGTTAAAGATTAAACTTACCGTTGCCTAATTCTGAGAACATGGAACGCACACGTGCAAATATGATTTTACGCGCGAATTACCCAGAAACTGAAACTTAATGCTGAAAGAGAATCTAGATTGCGTCGCGCGGGGAATAATTTTGGTCACGTACATCATTTTGTGTTCCCTTTTAAATACAATTACCAGTGCAGAGAGTGGTTTCAGAAACGCAAATTCAACTTGCAAAGATGAATTTACCTGGGAACGGTACCTCGCTCAGGCTTTTGTATTTATTAAGTTAAACACATTGATTTAACATTGAACATATTATGGCGATTAAAAATATGCCTATAGCAGATAGGGCGGAATGACAGGTTCAGCAACGCCCAGGAATTACAAGCAGCAAATTCTGCTACTGCTAGTGCAATCAAGGAGAATCAAAGCAAATATTATAGTGGTACCGTATGGCATGTCCATTCTGGGTCAGCGTTGTATAGGTTGCATGGATAAGTCCCTGCTTGCTGTTGGCGTTGATGCGGTGATGCTAGCTGGAACAATTGTCGGAGAACTCTTTGGCTTCGTACTCTCTTCACTTCTTTCTCCGCACAAAACTGTTTAATCCGTGGGAGGCCCTGTTATTCAAATAAAGTTCTGAACCGTCAATCAAGCGTTTAGTTCTAAAACTGGTTATGGAAATTGTAGTTTTGTAGCTTTTCTCATAACTATCGTCCTATCGAACTGATGATCAATAAACATCACGCGGTTTGCTACAATTAAGTTGATATAAGGGGTCGTTTACATATCAGCAGAGGGGTCTTCCAAATTGCAAATGATTACGATTGACCATATGATATTGTAATTTTGGCACAATAGCACAATACTAATAGCGATACCCGGATTTAACATTTAAACAATTTGTAATCGTATTGCCATGCAGTGTTTGTGTAACTCAAGTTAGTAATCGCTTTTCTTGTCAAAAAGTTAATATTTATTTCCTTCGATGGTAAATTATTTTGTCCTAAATTCATTTATTTTCTAATAATATAAAATTGGTTTAAGACCAATACAATGTCAATAAGTCATGTGGCATGTAAGGCGCCAAAGACAAATTGCTAAAAGGCGCGGCGCAACTGCTGAAAACTGCTACAAACTGCCACTAACTGCCACTAACTGCTACAAACTGCCACTAACTGCTACAAACTGCCACTAACTGCTGCAAACGGCGCGCGCAGTGCGTGGGCGCGATTGTAGCAGTTAGTGGCAGTTAGTGGCAGTTAGTGGCAGTTTGTAGCAGTTAGTGGCAGTTAGTAGCAGTTAGTGGCAGTTTGTGGCAGTTAGTGGCAGTTAGTAGCAGTTAGTGGCAGTTTCTTTGCACTTAGCTCCTCCTGTGCTGTGACGTACCCTTGTAGCGCGATGCAATACTGGGTCGCGCGCGCATCAAATAATGATTCTCGCACACTCAATAAGGCTTCTCACAGCTAGATCGGCGAAATGCACCACTGTGCCTCACCGAGCTGCGAATGATTGACATCGTGAATCAAAACGTACGCGCGCAACCAATTACAAGGCCAGAATTTGATCACGCTCAAAGTGAGCGTTAATTGACGATGTCAATTCATGGCAGCTCAGCGCGGCTCAGTAGCGCATTTCGCCGATCTAGCTGTGAGAAGCCTTATTGAGTGCGCGGCGCGGCACAGTAACGCATCGCGCTACAAAGTGAGCGCTGTACTCTAAAACACGCGTTTACGATTGGCCAAAACTGCGCCACGTGATATATTTTTAGCCAATTAGGACGTCAGAATTGCATCATCTGAGATGACACACATATCATATTATTTCGAGAAGAAAGCGGCGCGCGCTACTTCGAAGAAATTTAGACGAGTAACATCCGCGTCAAATGAAAAAAGCGCCACAAACAGGGAGTGGCGCGTTAAATAAATTAAAATTGTTCGCTTTTTTGTTGTAGCTAGATGAACTAGACGATCAACCGCGCGCATCAAATATTACTGGGCGGCGCTCAGCCTGTAATTTCGTTGCAGCTTTATTTAGCAGCTTTATGTTTATAAAATTATAGCCTGGGATGTACTATACAGAAAAATCAAATAATGTTTTTTTGTGCAATCGTATAGTTGACGGATATTACTTTCGCTCTTCTAAATTTCTTCAAAGTTGAAAGAAGCGCGCGCTGCTTTCTTTTCGAAGTATTTGTAGGTTTATGTTCTACCAGGGCGCGCGCCGAGTTGGAACAAATATTCTACAAGTATCACCCGTTAACGAAATATTAGCTCGATGGCCTGAGCTCTGCAAGTGCTACGAAGCTGCGCGCAGCTGATTAGTTAGACTTTATTTGAAGTACATCGTAGGTTCATAACGCGTATCAAGACGTGCGCTGGAACAGACTTGTCGACGGTCTTGGAATATAATATTTGGTCAAATATATATAATATTAGGAACAAATATAATATATTCACTATTTTAAACAAATATTTTACGAGTACAGTATCACCTGTTAAATTTTATTTAGCTTCCTCATTTACAATTTATTGCTCACTTCCAGCTTCTTAAATGTTAAAGCTTGAAATTAGCACGCGCACAAATTTTTTTTGTTTAACTGAGAAATAAAACATATAATAATTTTTGATTTTCTGAGCGTACTGAAGATGAAAACTATACTTAATGCACATAACAGGGAGATTAAAGTGCAAAGAAACTGCTGCTAACTGCTGCTGCTAACTGCTGCTGACTGCTGCTAACTGCTGCTATCGCGCGCGCGCGCGCCATTTGCAGCAGTTAGCAGCAGTTACTAGCAGTTAGCAGCAGTCAGCAGCAGTTTATTTGCACTTTAGTCTCCCTATGAATGATGTTTTTATTGATCGTGAAACTTATGATAATTTTATTATTTACTGACTATTTACCAGTGTTGTGTGAAGCATGTAGGGCTAGTAATGTAATGCATCAGTGGTATATAGTAAGTGAGGGATTATATATATATATATAAATAATTCTATGTTCACCATTCATGTTAGGAAAAAAAATTTTTTGTATCATGTATTGCTTAAGATCACAGTATAAATGTAGATGTATGTAGCTCTGCTGTCTGCACTGCCTTTGCATGCAGCGCCTGTCAGGTATATAATCAAGAAAACAACAAACTTTCAAGATTGAAAAAATTGATGTTTGTCAGTTTGTGGATAACCTGCGACATTGTTCCTAGGGATTCACTTAAGTACTACATTTATTGTGATTCCTTTCTGTCTTCCATCCATGTCACTCATTTTAGAAATAGCAGATTACATATTTTGCTTATTTGTTGCACTTTTAATTAGTATTTAAAGCAAGTGAATCATGTTGCATGTGCCTAATAAGTGATACTGTTGTTACTTTTGACTATGATAAATGTCATGAAATTACAATTTTTGATTGATGTATTAGTTACATGGAGGTTACTATACACCACATTAAGCTTTACAGCTCTAATCATCTAACTTTGCTGCTTAACTCGTCAGTAGCAGAAAATCAGTACAGACGCACCCAGCTTCGTCCTTTTGAGGAGGTAGAAAGTTTTAAAATAAATGACACATTCCAGAGTAAAATCATGGGACACCCATCATTTGGCTATGATTAAGATGCACATCTTTATAGTACAATACGTGTACAATGTTACTGATCCAAATTACTATTCCTCATCCCCTGATTGTTACACCACTGCCTCATGTTTGGTCATTTCACCACCTTGCACAGATCTTATTGCTGTGAGGTGTATTGGAAAAAATATGCTAGAGAGCTGTTTCAGCTTACTTTTGTTTATTCTGATTGCATCATGGGAAGCCAAAAGTAGCTAAACACCATGGATGATGCTACAGAGTTACAGGCACAAGATTGTAACCTTTTCCAATCTGTTACTCAATGGTATAACTTTTAATAGATATAATCAGGTTTTTATGACTTTTGATTGTTGTTCATATTTTTCTGATGATTTGGATTGCAATACATGTCACTTGTCGAACAAATTTTAATAATAGTTTATCTATTCAACAAACTTTTAACAGTCAGTTTGATTTTTTAACGAAGTTTGTAATTATTTGGTTTTATTGCAGGCATTTTTTGTAAATCTGCAATAAATTCAATCTATCTCCGTTCTTGATTTGCTCAGAACCTGTATAATCTCTATCAGGGGTTACAGAGGTTCCAGAACTCTTACACCCACTGCAACAAATGATTTGGACCTCAACCTAATCAACACTCCTAGTACTTCTTAAAAGGTCAGGGAGTGCTTGTTGGGTGAGGATCTGAATTGCTTGTTGTAGTGATGTCAGTTTGTAAATATGGTGAACTCTATTTTTAATTTACCAATTCGTAAATTGTTAAGGTTTTTTTTCTACCCTGGTTTTTAAAACTTTCTACCGTTTTATTGCATTTATTGTATTAGTTTTTATTTTTCAAAGGTGTCCAAACTTATAGCAGGACATTTTTTGAAAACATTTTTCTTTTATATAACTTTTTAATCTATCTCTGTGTTACTTACTGATAAGATTTTCCATTCAGCATGTCATTTTCGTTAAAAGCATTAGAATATGAGCAAGTCGAGAGATTAGTAGGACTCCTGAACAAACAGCTCCCTCTACATGGATGTGGAAACTTCCCCACCCTGGAGGTATGTTTACTTTTAACAGTTAATTGTAATTGAGCTACCAAATGTGGCCTTAGTTGCAGAATGTTTAACAGTTTGCAGTTTATTATATGCAGCCACAGCCTACAATCTGAAATAGAACATATTACTTGCAGGTATAGTAGTAGACGATAGGTTAGTTATTAAGATATAATGTAGTCAAGTGTAAAGGCTTCTGTTGCTTTCGTAAAGACCACCTTTAATGGTTCATAACTATTAAGAATTTATTCAATTTTACGATTATTTGCTTAGGTATGGGATTTGTAAGAGCTGCAGATTAAAGCTCCAGTCCTTTTTTTTTTGTACAACATTATATAACCACTAACCAGAGCATGACATCATTTTAAATATGGTAGTTCAACAGTTTAGTCCATCTAAACTTAATAGTATTACTTCACTTTGCCGGCAGCTTTAGTTTCTTGAAGCAATGTAATGATTAGATCCATTATTAAAACAATTTAAAATACTCGCTTCTTAATGGGATTCAGAGAGTTCAGGAGCGGAAGCTTTTGTGCCAAGCTTTTGTATAAATGCAGGTACATGCAATTTTACCCCTCTAAAATCAATGACGTCAAATACTGGTTTATTCAAAGACCTAAGTGGTCGAGTCTAACATTAAGTCACGTTTGACAGGGTATTTTTCGTTTCCAGACAATCTCAGATTAGAGGAACCTGTAGCTCTGTCTTGACATCCCTGATTTTCAGGTTACCCTGGAAGCAATGGTAAGAGCTGTCAAGTCCTCCCTACAAGAACAAGGTGTAGAATTAAGAGATGTCAGGTTAAACGGATCCGCAGCAAGCTACGTGGTGGCAGACTCAAACATTGACACTTACAACGATGTGGATCTTATTTTCGGAGTCAATTTGGATGAAGCAGATAGTTTCAAGCGTGTTAAGGAGGCTGTTGGAGAGAGTCTATTGAAACTTCTTCCTGAGCAGGTAACTCTCATAACACCCATCTTGTAACACCCGCTACAATCTGTCAGGAAGATCGCGTCATGATTGCTAAGTCCATCTAAACATTATCTTGACAGTTCAATCTTTTTACTAGCACGTAATCCTTGTAGGTGTCCAAAATGCGACTGAGATCCAAGATGATGGTTGACGCGTATGTGAACAAAATGGTAAAGGTGGCCCAAGGGAACGACTGTTGGTCTCTCATGTCTCTACATAACGAGGGGGGCTGCAATGTTGAACTCAAGTGAGATTTTTAAAGTTTACTAACGTTTTCACTTTTTATCCGTGCTCTTAGGTTTTAACCGAAATTAATCGGCCCTTGTACTGCTAACACTTAAAAGATTGTCTGATTTATGATTTTCCACAAGAACAATGTTTTCCTAAAAGAACAATGTTGTGACTTTGCCATTTCCCTGCACACAGGACTTACTGTCTTACTCTCAAAATCATTGTATGTGATACGATAATTGACTAATGACTATTCTACCATTGTTCTGAGAATTAAATTCGAAAATAACCAGTGTGACGCGAAAATATATTGTGTTTTGTACAGTAACCCGTCGCTGTAATTTAATAATTCATATCATTGTAGCTACTGTTCATTCCACGTGATGTATTTATATTATAAGAAACCGTAAATAATGGTTACAATATGATAAAGTTGGGGAAAATGACGGGTAAAATGACGAGTAAAATGACGGGTATCACTATGACCAGTATGACTGATAGTATAAATCCTCTGCCTAGTGTACAAATGAGTTGCGAGCTCGTTCTCAATAGGGTTATTAGTTGTAATTAGTTGTAATTAGCGCTAACACGGGCAAACATGTCAACTCAGCATGTAAACAAGCAATCTCTCCACGCTCATAAGTATTATAGATATACTAGGTTAAGATACTGAAAGTAAAAAACTACCTACTCTCATAGTACTCTCTAAGCTTTATTTAACATGACCAGCGTCAGTACTCAGTACCCAATGGAATGTCTTCTTCTCTCAACCAATAGGAACAGTAGTTGGCAGAGTGCCAAGTGATTAGCACAACAGTTATTTGTAAATTGGTGTTTATGAAGGGCTTCTGAACTACTTGTCGAGTAACCCTGCAAATTACCTGTGTAGTAACCTAACAAATAACCCCAGGTTTGTAGATAAGATGAGGAGACAGTTTGAGTTCTCCGTGGACAGTTTCCAGATTTACCTGGACCCCCTCCTCTACTACCAGACCCACTCTACCGTGGACATGTCCAAAACTTTCTACCCCACAGTGTACGGAGTCAGCTTGTATGGAGATTTCGAGGAAGCGGTGTGTAACTTTACTTAATACATTGGACAGTCTGTTTACTGCGTGCGAATAGAGGCATAAATATTAAATATATGGTGTGAAGTATTATAATATTATACGCATATTATTTGGCGAGAATTAATAAAGTTTCCTTAAACCTTACTTCCTGTGTAATGTGTAAGTCTAATGTACAATGTTTTACAGGCAGGGCACTTGAAGGAGCACTGGATAGACACGATCCAACCAGAGGAGATCCGAGGAGGAGGACTCCTCAAGTACGCCAGGCTCCTTGCTTCAGGGTACAAACCTCTCTACCCTGCCAAACTGGCCAGGATGGAACGGTACATGTGCAGCCGGTTCTTCATTGACTTCCCTGACATCGACAAACAAGGTTTGTTACTCGACAAATATGTGAACTTTTAAAGAGCTGTTTACTGCGCTGCACTTATGTGCAAACTGGGAAATTCTTAGGCAACAATTCGGCTCCTTTTTTGTTCAATAGCAGCGAATATTCGGCAAAATTGAGTTTAACTTTTCAAGCCCCTGTTGTTAGCTTAACTTGCCCCCTCTCAGGTGAAGTGATAGAGAAGTACCTGGTGGGGCACTGCAGTGCGAGTCGTGGCACAGTGGAGTGTGCACGTGCACGCTACACATACCTCATGGTGCTACACCGCGTCATCGAGCAAAGCACCGTGAGTTACGCTTATTACGAGTTATACTTATGTTTTACGTGTTACACTTATGTTTTACGTGTTACACTTATGTTTTACCTCTCTTTTATGTAATGTCGACAACAAATCTAGGCGACTTGTAGATTAGTGTGCTGCCAAAACTACAATAGCTAATCTGTGGGTAATAAGAATCCAGTAGAGCAGTAGAACAGTGATAGTGTACTTTAATTGTGTACTCTTCTTTACAGACCATGTTCTATACAATGCTGCTGTACACGTGTTGCAGTGCAATAAGGCTATACACTGCCTCCCCACGCTTCTCTCATTGTGAAACCTAATGTGTAGGCTCATTTCTCTGGGCATCGATGGAGAATCTTCTCGGAAATATTATCTAAGTTCAAACACAAGGATTTATTATTTGTGTTAAGGCAGCAAGCTGGTATGGTTGAACGAGCTTCCCTCTTTCCCTGTTCTAATAATAAAATAATCAGTTATCAATAAACAGGCTCCACCAGTACAGCAGTAAGGCTCGATAATGCTGTCAATTAGATTAGCATGTCAAGACAGCACGCAGCCACGGTATTACCATACTTGGGCATATTGTAGCCGTATTTAGGCTGCATCCCACTTATTGTATTAGGTGCGCGTACTTACCAACTGTCACTATACCTTTAACTAATCTTTACACTGGTAATAATGGTTATAGCAGCAAATACACAGCATGTGTATTTGCTGGTTACTCTGACTTTTTTTGGATAATTTTCACATGTTAAGATCTTATATTGGGACGTGAAATTCAACACCTTGTGAGATAACCTAAGATTCCGGATTCGCTTCACCAGTAAACTGCAGTAATAATGCGGGTAATTATTGAAAATTTGCAGGTTTTTGTCAAATAATTAATTAACCTGGTCCTGATAAGCGAGGCAAAGTAATTTAATTCGTAAAAAATAATCGCCTTGAAGGAGAAGTTTCTAATAAGATTAAGGGTCCCGGACTTTCAACCATATTTAGACATTACAGTGAGCATATTTGGGCATGAAATTAGGAGCAGTGCAGTGGCACACGACAGCCTGCGAACTGAAATCTGCACTGCAATTCTGCAACTTAAGACCTAAGATAATAATATTATGCATCTAGACGCAAGTGCTGGGAAGTGCTGTGCAGTTGTCCGCTTATCAACAGGAGAACTAAGGACACAATTAAAAAGTAGCACTGATAAACAAACTCCTTCCCGGATATTATTTGGTACTAATCCGGGGCAGGAACCTTGTCTGGGTTTTTATTGTTTTAATCAGTTGGTTTAAATAATCTAAGTAACCCTGACTCTGCCTGGTTTATTTAACCTAAATAACCCTGCCTCAGGTGTGTCTGATGAGCCACGAGCGACGACAGACCCTGCGGTTCATCACTCAGGCCGCGTGTGCATGTCTGAAGCAAGCGAACGCCAACTCCACCAGCCCCTCCAGCATGAGCAGCTCCTCCTCCTCCTCTGCATGCAGTTCTCCCGTCAAGAACCTTAACTTCAGGTCCAGGCGGCACTACAACAGCAACAACAGGGACTATAAGACGTGTTACCAAGGTAACAAAGACTATAAGAGTCGCATATCACCCACGGCCCTCCCCTTCATCCCCGGCCAGCTCCTGTACAGATGTCAGAGTTAGCTGACATGTCATAATATAGACTTTCAGACAAATTGGGGCGGGCCACGCCGTCTTCTAGCGCAGGGTCTGGGTCACACCGCCCACGTGTCATACAGCCGGGGTCGCGCCCACGTGCGGTACAGCGCAGCACATCTAGCGTTCAGGGTTGCCAGCAAATAAACCTTTAAAGAACAGCATCTTACAAGGTTTCCTTTCAAGTGGTTTAAGAATGTTGGTTTAAAAAGGCTCCTATAAAGAGGACTTTAAAAACCTTAAATTTTATTTTTGACGACCCTCAAAAAACAGACGGCCCTAAACAGCCTTTATACCCTGAAAATTGCTGGTGACCCCAGTTCCCGCGTAGCTGTGTGGCACGTCATGTGACCGAATCGGGAAACTGTGCTAGAAAACGGCTCAAAAGGCACTGGTCTGCCGATAAAAGAACTTGAATTTAACATAATGGAGTTTTTAAATCATTTTAAAATGTGGTGAAAGCTTCTTTGTTACATGTGATTTAAATTTTAATTTGCGGACAGAAAATGTATATAATATAAAAACAAAAAATGCTAAAAACTGTTTTAAATGTCTTTTGAAATAAAATCTTGATTGATACGGAGTAATGGTGCAATTAGGTACTAATTGATTAGTAATTAATTACTAACGTGGTTCCAAATTTTCATTTGTACTGATCATCGTACACGGCTAGGCGTATTTAATAATACTAAAATAGAACTTTCAGCCATAACTATTTGGAAACAAATATTTGGTAACAAATATTTCCATATTTGGGCATGGTTGTAACCATATTTGGACACATGAAAGTGTTGAAGGTTGAACTGGACAGTGTTTTTGTCACATATAACTATTCTGATGGAAATGTACGAGAATACACTTGCCAGGAGTATACATGCATTCTTTATCACATGGAGTAGAGTGAGACCTTTACAAGAAGGACTCGAAACTTTATAAATAATACGAGGACCTGAAACCTTACATTATACACTGTGCGTCAGTACAATGAGAAAATATCATGAGATATAGTCAATAATATAGCAACTCACACATACCATGTATTAGTACATTTTTCAGAAAATCATTTAAAGCACCTTGGAGTGAAAATTTGATGTGTTTAAGCTTTCAAAACTTTTTGTACGACTTTTGTAATTGTTCTTTAGTTTTTAAAATGTGAAAAGTAGATTGTAATCTTAATTATTGTAAGATCAGCGGAAAACTTGAAAAACATTAAAAAATGGATAATCGAAGAAATTAAGCAGAAAGTTAATGATTTTTCAGGATATTGGTTTCGTTCGATGATTTAAATTTGCTTGATTTGAAAATTGTAAATTGTGTAAAAAGTTTATACTGATAAGATATGAATAAAGTGATAAGGTTATATGTGCATTGTGCATTGTGCATTGTGCGTGTCATCTAACTGAAGGGGTTTAAATTTTAGATTTCCAACCCTCACCAGTCACCACACTTATATTGCTCAGGAGTGTGGTTTCTAAAGATCTTTTAATTAGATATTACACCGAGACGCACGTGATACCTAAATAAGGAAATAAGCACAAGGATCTACTAACACTATTATGATATATTCTATATCTTATACTTCGTGTAATGAACGGTTTATCAGTAATCAAGTTATAAAAATGGATAATAAATGTAGCAAAGTTATAGTAAATTTGGAAGATTTATGCGATAAAGATAAAGATTGTTGATACATGATTTATAATAAGTTACTAATTAATTAGTAATTGGCTGTGTAGTCTCAAACGATGATTGGAGATGTTTTAGTTTCTGTAATAAATAAAGAGGATGATACGTTATAATATTATATGATATAAATACACTAGAATCCCTTTTTATCAGCTTTTAGAGTAGGGAGAGAGAAAGTCGAGATTTGGTCCTCCTGTCACTTTTCAAACCAATGAATTATAATACTATAATACCTCCGCCACTGAGTGCTGCGCGCTATAATTCCCGACAGCTTGCTGGAGGGAATTTGCGGGCACGAAGTTGCGGAGGTATTATATTTTATAATACGTTCCGGTTCCGATTGCAGAAGGGGTGTAATCCGATACGTGCGCATCATACAATATAGTGTCTAATATATAGAACGCCAGTGTTATTTGTTTTGAAACTTGCCGCCAGCCAGTCTGAGTCTGGGCTGATAATACCCTCGCTTCTCTTGCGGGAAAAATGAGCAAATTATCAGCCCTCGGTGTCCCCGAGTTTTAGTGGATATAATTCCCGGAAGGTATTATAAGTTTTAACAGCCTTGAAAGGGGTTCTAGTGTATGCTTTCTATGTATTTACTATTTTGGGTTTTCTGGGCTTCAACGAGGGTGTAACGGCACGTTACAATATAATATGAAGATAATATGAAGATAATATAAAGATAATATTATTCCCTTATATGGTTCGCTGTATTTCTGGTTACTGTCCGCTGTTTAACAAAGATAATAGTAACTTGGTTTTAGGGCTCATGTTTACTATGATCTTGTTGCTTTATTGGTACTGTGTTATGAAATGTAGCGTGGAATTAAGGCTAGATAATTAAGGTACAGCGTGGAATTAAGGCTCACTACACTGCAGTTAACACTATAGCACCAAATTCTCACCATTCACACTGTAACACCCACCCTGGAGAGCATTTGTCACGCTTCAAACACCGTACTGCAACACTCCAAATACCGGCACCAAATACCGGCACCAAATACCTGGCAAATACCTGGCTAACCAGCGAGCAATTTCATCTGACAACACTCTGACAACACTCTGACAACACTCTGACAACACTCTGACAAGAGAGTGCAGAAATGTAAACTCCATCTGCAGGAACTCTGCTCTACTGTCTGTCAATGCTCGCTGTTTTTAGAACTCAGCCGTTAAAAAACTAAAAAAGAATACAAAAACACTCCGGCCAGTCCTTTTACCAAGAATAAAATAAAGATATTCACCATTGCGTAAATGAGACTCGGGCAGGCTCAATCATGTCCACTGTCCAGGCTAGGCTAAGATTTGTCCCTCCCTCCCAAGACCCAGGTACCTGGTACGTGTCCCCTCTTATATGATTGTCTCCTCATTATTTGATTATATAATGAGGTGATTGTAGTGTAGGAGGTGTGTGGCATTGCTTCTTCATAGGAGGTGTGTGGTATTGGCCATTGCTTCTCTTCTCTTAACAGTAATTAATACTAGCTTCATCGTAAATTGTGGAAACTAGATAAACTTTATGTAAAATAAGCAGCATCCAATGGAGTGCCAGGTAAAACCTGAGCATCCGATTGAGTTACAGTTCTAAATGTTTTAAAACTCTGGTAGGTATCTTAGATGCATTCCAATTTCCAGGCTATCTAATAATCTAACACCCAATCTCACGTACTCACCCAAATTCCAGGCTATCTAGCACCAAATTTCACGTACTCACCGAAATTCCAGGCTGTTAGTCCACGCTTTCTAAAAATTCCACGCTACTTTCGTTACTAAATGTACTCTTTAATAGGTTAAGATAATATAATGTAGATTTACTTGTTTTGACATGATAAGACGAGGTTGTTTACTGAGATGTTAAATGTTAAGCTGTGGAAACGTCATGTCTGTGACGTCATGCCCTGGTAACTGTGACATGGGAGCTGTATATTCTTTATTTGGTTTTTAACTGAAACATATATAAAAGTGTGTTGCCATGGTAGCACATTATAAACTGTGAACATTGTTATTGTTGTTATTTATTTTCACCACACTTTAAACAAATTGTTTTTATTTAAGGTTCCAATATCAGCCACAGAGTCTACCCTGGTATTTTCTGCAACATAATGCAAGAATTGAATGGGTCTGGGATAATAAGGTGCAAAGTTGCAAATCGCACCAGAGTATGTCCAGATTATAATAAACCGGATACCGGGACGGATTTCCTGTCGGTTCCCTGTGTTGGACGGGCTTTCCAAAGTTCGACAGGATAATATTAGGGTAATATCTCACTGAAATTGTGGGAATCCTAAATAAATTGATGATATCTAGGATTACAATAATTAGTGAAGTTACACCGCTCACTGGATTAAATATAGCTCCTTTATCCCTGACTACTTTAACACTCTACTGTCTCCGGTAAGTGAAGCAGTTTTATCAGATTTATCAACTGATTATTACGGGGGCTTGGGGAATATGGGAATTGGTTTTTATGATACTTTCAACAGAGCAGAGGGAAATCAAAACTATTTACCTAGGCACATACCACTTACCAGTAACTATTCGGGGGGTTTAGTATCAGAATAGTTAAGTAGATTTTGTACTTTAGGACAGGCCAAGGAGTCAGGTTTACAATCAATAATTACTTTCCAGCCAGGAATTAACATTGGTAACTCTTATAACTTTATAAGCACCCTCAATAGAATGTGACCTACAGTCTATAGTCATGCTAGAAAGTGCAGCTCAATGTTAATATCATCGAGAGAAGCCCCACGGTACGTGGAGCCGCTTCTGTCCAAAAGTTCAGCTACCCCTTGCACACTGCACACAATACAGCCTGCAGGCGTCTTGAAGTAGTTTACCAAGTGTGAGAAATTATGTTTAAAGTACAGTGACTGGAACTGTAATCGCTACAACTTACTCGTATCCTCACTCACACGTGCACAATTGTTACAACTTACTCACACGTGTCGCTAATACCTACAATATGGACTGATAAGTATTGTAGGTATTAGCTATATTATCTGGAGGGTGTTCTGGAAACAAATTGTAAGTGGTACGAAAGGGTACGAAAGACTTATGGTTATGAAGGCTGGCAGGCATTATGTGCATAATAACATATCATTATGTGGAGCCATGTTGGGAGTTAACAATTGGTCTGTTAATAAGTTTATTAATGAGTTATGTTCATAATAACTTTATAATAATAAGTTATGTTTATATAATACGTTGTGTTTATATAGTAAGTTATGGTACTCTTTTAAATGGGATGTTAGTCGCCTTGATGACCGAAACACCTCTTCAATTTATTCAGTTTGTACAGGGAGATGTATAAAGTAATGTTAATATGAACTATAATAATACTTTAAATATAATAGTACCTGCCTGCTAATATTATATTATATACTATATTTTGGACTGTAGTTACTCCTTCGTAAATATAATAGTTACCAGTGACCCAGCTGAGATGTGGGACCAAGTGTTTTAGAAAGCATTATTCCACAGTAATTATATAACCATTATATTATGTAACGATTGATAAGGACCCAGGATCCCACCACACCTGGTTAATAGTATCACGTGTGACCAATAGCTAGCAGGTACAGGTACAACGCTATACCAGTAGCTAGGTAGCTCTTTGGGCTGCCTTTTGTGGGTTACTCCTTCATAAAGTGCACCCGTATCACAGCTGAACAGGTTTTAGGTACGTAGGTTAATTTCTACGAAATATAGGTATGTTTCTCTAAATCAAGGTGAATTTATCTCAGGATTATAATACTAGTGCAGTTGTTACTAGTGACTCAGCTAGTGCAGATGTTCGTGACAGCTTTGTTAAATAAATCAATACAACACGGACTGATATAACAGCAGTTTTCTCGTCACAAGTTACAATAGATCTGGATACTAACTGGAAGCTGGTCGGTTAAATAACGTGTCCAGAAAGAGACGACCCACTAATTTGTAAACCGCACGTGCTACTGCGCGCACTAGCATAACATAGTGGCTAGTTAAGTATAATATCGGTCATGCTTCTGACACAGCATCTCGTCTGAATATTGCTACTTTTCTTGGGAAAACTAAAACTTATGTAAGGTTAGTAAATTCTGGCCTAGGATTAAGGATTGGCTTACGATTGCTGAGCTTACTGCTGGAATTTATTGGTTGAAACCATGTTTAAACTGGTGTTGTGTTGCAACATTTAATTACTTTATGTAAAATAAATATGTTATACAGCAGATCTGTCAAGACTCCAGTAAAGCAGTAACCAAATCAAAATACTTTGTTATAGTTTTTAAATATTATAAATATTATGACCATTATATTTTATAATATGACATAAAAATGTATATTTAAATGTTACTATATGCACATTGCACATAACAATGGTTTGTAATATTACTAACAATTCCATGCGTATGTAGAATGACATTAACTTGATTTTATAAATTAAATATAAGCTTTCTGACCGCAAGACATTGACTATACGATAAAATTAGACGCTATCATCTGTTGTTTTTACGGCATTAAATTAAAACGTTATATAAATGTAAGTAAGATTTCCCCAGATAGAGGAATTAAATTACTGAATGTTGTCTCTAAAACGTCAGGATATTGTAACGCTGTCTCTAAGAATATCTCTAAGCTCATACAAGTCCATTATACAGGTATCTAATTCTGACTTAACACGTGTCTCACGGTCCACAGCCAGCTATACAATGCGCTCGGGATCAAATACTTC